TTCGTCATCTTCACCGCTGCCGCCATCGAGCCGAGTGAGTTTCGGTTCCAAAAAAGAAGAGAAAAGATGATGGACATTTGAGAACGGCGGTTTGTGGGATTTGAGTACAGCAGTTTGTTGCAGCAAATATGGCTAGGGTTTGTAAATATAAGAGTTGGAAAATTAAGGATAATATAGGTATAACACTAATTAATTGTATTAATATTAATTTAATTAAATAATTAAGGGGGTTCTCACTAATAATGAAAATGATGCTATATCCACCTTTATATAAGTAAATGAATTGGGGGGTTTTTACTAATTATCCCTATATTTTAACTATGAAATATTAATAGCCAAGGACGAAACTAAAATGCTTGTTATAATATGCATTGATTTTAGGGGTCATTACAAATAAGCCCATCAATGGGTACTTATTCATAAAGAGATTCAGACAAAAAACTCCTTTACAAATAAGTCTACACATGGTCCAGATTTTTGGAAAAGACTACAATAACCCCTCATACTTTAATATGTTCCAATTTCATCATTAATTTAATTTAACCTCAATTTGACCCCAAATTTCACATATTATTCAATTTTGACCCAAATTTTTTTTTTCAAAAAACTTTTTTTTGCCGCCGGATTCCGACGTTGACCGACGCTAAACGTTGGTCTCCAGCATTGACTTTTCAATTTTTTTTTTCTTCCCGATTTTTCGCCGGTTTTCCGACGTTGACTTTTTTTTTTTTTTTTTCTTTCTCTGAATTTTTTTTTCGTTTAAACAACATTATTGTTGTGACTGACAATAATATTAACTATATTACTGCTAAACACAGTAAAATTAACTAAACAATAGTTTAACACAGTAATATTGTTATATGAATCTCTAGCACAGTAATATTAACACAACAAAACTCATTATTATTGTGTCATAGAGTAATATTACTATGTTGACCGTTCAAAAAATATAAACATAATAAAAAGCCAAAAGAATTAATATTACTGTGATTAACAGTAATATAACTATAACAACAGTAATATTACCGTCAACCACAGTAATTTTATTACGTTACACCGTGAATAACTCAAAAAAAAAACATCCAAACAAAACAATAATATTGATGTGGTTGACAACAATATTACTATAACAACAGTAATATTACCATCAACCACAGTAATATTATTGTTTTTACAGTAATATTATAATAATAAACAGTAATATTATTACGTTACTCCGTGAGTAACTCAAACAAAACAAAAACCCAAAAACTAATAATATTGATGTTGTTGACAAAAATATTATTGTGTTTACAATTATTTTGCTGCCAACGACAGTAATATAATTACGTTGACATGTCAACAAATCAAAAAGAATAAAAAAAATAACAAAAATAAAAAATAATAATATTACGTTAATTTACTGTCAACGACAAAACAATTACATAAATGTATTGTCAACGGCAGTACAATTACGTTAATTAACTGTCACTGACAGTATAATTATGTTAATTTACTGTCAGTGACGCACAATTACGGTAAAAATTTAACGGCGGACGTAAAAAAGAAAAAAAAAACCAAAAAAAAAACACTTAAAAAGTTAACACCTGAATCTGGCGGCGGAAAAAAAAAATTCAGACCGGCGTTGACCGCCGGTCAACGTCGTAAACCGGCGAAAAAATCCGGAAGGAAAAAAAAAGTTAAATTTTTTTTTCGAAAAGTCAACGCCGGAATCCGGTGGCAAAAAATTTTTTTTTGAAAAAAAAAGTTAAAATTGGATTTTTGTGACAAAATTGATTAAATTGTGGTTATAATTAAAAATTGGGTATAAATAGTTGGGGGTAATATTGTCATATACATGAATGTTTTCTTTATTTATAATAAATATTAAAGGGATAGGCTTATTGATGAAAGAGATATAACACATAAACCTAGAATAACAAAGATGCTTGATTGAGGACTTATGCACAAAAACCTCTTGATTTTATATCTAGTTAAGAACTAACTATCCGTTGCACTAAATATTATGATGAACCATTGTCCTTTTTTGTGCAAAGTCAGGAGAAGCTTTTCAATAACCAGGATGAATTAGATGTAGAAAATCTTTTATTACTCTGATTGTTCACATTCTATGTTATGAATCAGATGTAGAAATTTTTTTATTACTCTGATTGTTCACATTCTATGTTATGAAAACGCATTTTTTATCAATAATGGATGGTGTAAGATCTACACCCTCAAGACCTCACTCTAAAACCGTAATCTTTTAAGATTGTAAGAACGTACACAAGACGCTGTATCTTGTTTCTATGGTGGTAGAATTATGAACGGAATTTAGTTAACGTAGACGAGAGAGTTTGCGAGAGAGTATCAATTTATTATTAAAATGTAAGAGCATCTCCAATGTTAAACTAAAAAAAAACTCAAAAAGTCATAGGTGTTAAGTACCAAATGTGAATCTTAAAGTTTTATCTATCCTAATTGACAAGATTGAGATTTCATACTGCAAAGTCTTTCCCAATGCAACACTCAAGACTCAAAAAACATTATTAGGTGTAATTTATTATTGAGTTTTAAAATTAAAATTAAAACTATTAATTTATTAAAAAAAACTTATTCCGCCAAATTCCATTTCCGTTTTCATTCCTGATTTAATACAAATAGGGTTTATTTAGATTTATTCAGGAGAGAGAAAAAGAAGTAGATAGAGTTTTTTGTGAACATTATTTGTCAAATATTTTAACGAATAAATTTTAATTTGACATTTTTCCTTTTCGTTAAACCATTAACATATATTGTATACAAACTAGCAATGTCTATAGATCACGCGTATAATTCATTTATTTTAGGTCAGATGAATCACATTAATTCAATTGATTAAATTTTGAGAAAATTATTGTTAAAACAAATTAGGTAATTAATTAGTGTTTTTACCTGAAAGTCGAATCTTTAGAGAATCATTTAACTCCAACAAAGTAGTGTAGAAGAAGGTGAAAAAAGAGTAGAGCAATGATGAAATTCATTTACGGTTTGAAGATAATTTAATTATCTTAATTTTTTAATAGAAAGTAAAAGAAAAAATTGTATAAAATGATGAGTTGACACTTTAGAGGTCCGCGAGACGACACTCAAATTTAGAGTGTCATCTTAAGAGTCTCTAAAATTACGAGTGCCACTTAATTGCCACATCATTAGGAAAATTTTCTTAATATTTGCATTGGAGATGATATTTTAACAAAAATCTCCAAATATCTTACGTGGCATTCTAAGTATTAGAGATTGAGTTTAGCATTGGGATGCTTTAACCCTATTAGAGTTTGTTGCATTCATTTATATACAAGACCAAAGATCAATTAAGATCCTTTAGTTAAGTTATTAATTGATACTACTTTACTTATTAAACAAGAGTTTATGGCAAGATCATAAAATTAGCTCTGACTTCCATTTGATTCGCTCGTGATTCTTTGTCAATTAAGATTTCGTTGCGGATCCCAGGCGAGAGCTAGGCTGGACAGGACGACCTTATTGTGCCGAATGGCTGATCGAGGCCCCATCATCCGCTCATTGGGCGGGCGAGCTTATTGGGTTGGTGCCCTACGGGCTTTCCAGATGGCTGACCGAGGCCTCACTAAAAACATAGTTTGCTGTTTTTTTTTTCTTTTAGAAAAATCCGGTTTCAAAAGATCTTTCTCTATTCAACCAAATCTTATTTATAAAAATACTAGAAATGATGGTAAAGAAGCAAATTAATTCCTCCTCCACCAAGCCACTAGGGCCGAAACTGGGATCCTCTTGGGAGTCAATTTTCGTCCCCGACTTTTTATCCGTTGGTTAAACTTTATTTTCTCAATTAATTAGATAATACATTGGACTACAATACGGACCACAAGATAATAGGACGGCTATCAATAACTAACTAAACTCATACTCTAAAAAAATATATATATTTAATTAACTATTAATAAATATTTATTTTCATGAATTCCTTTTGGTAACTAATTTCCATCGAATAATTAATGTTTTCACGCACCCAATTCAACTGAGTTCACTTGACTCGGTATATGGATATTCTCTCATTGTGACATCAAAGCATAATGCACAAATTAAATATCTACATCAAACATCTAGGAATTATGTAGATTTTATGTTAAACAGTGATTAAATACACTGTTCAATTCAATTATCTAGTTCAATCTAAGCCAAATGTGCTATTAGAATAATTCAAAACAATAATTCCAAAATTATTTTATGTTCATGGTAATCAAGCAGATCACAACAATTTTACTAACTCATTTTTTGTTAAGTAATTTGTAAAACAATTTTAATTTTGCCTCGAAAAAGAATGCAATTTTGATTTAATTTATTTTTATTATCATTTATTTATTGCAAATATGAGGGTACTTTTTTACTTTTTAGATAAAAAATAACATGCATCATTTTGAATCGTAAAAGAATGACTAAATTGTAGAAAATTGGCGAGTTTTTGTCTCTGACAAAAATTGAGAATTTTCCAATTAAAATATTTTTTATCTACCTTTTATAAATCGTAAAAAATCGACAGAATTATGCCAAATTGAATTTATATTAAGATTCAAATTGAAAATTTAAGAATGATGATGAATTGTTGAATCGAACATGGACGACAATCTAAAAAATTAGATGTTTCCGAGTGAACATATTTGCATCTCGTATGGAGTAGAAAAAATTATAAATATATATACAGTAGAACCCTGACAAATTGATACTCGATAATTTAAAAATGTCGCTTAAATAATAATTTATTCCGATCCCGACTCGGTGTAACATACTAAATTATTATTTAAATAATTTATTATTTTGCTAAATTAATAAAATTTTGCTAGTCCCGAGTGAATGAATTTATAAATATTTAACTGTAATTGATTCACTCCTGCCTCCGGGTTGAACTAAGTTTCATCAATAATGATAGTATCACAACCATGTGCACTGAAAAACTAACATTATATATGGAATATCCATAACAATCTTTAACTCCAAAAATTGTAAAAAAATGAATAAACCCTCAATAAGATTCTTATGATATATCTTTATTGAATTATTACACTAATAAAACTGCGAAAAAAAAGTTGTCATCGATCAGATCATGTGGTGTCTCCTCAGTGTCTCCATAGCCTCGTCAACTTTTGCTCTCAGTGCATCCGGAACTTCTAGAAGTTCTAGGATCACCGTATTTTCAAGCTCCAAAATCATTCCGGTAACTTTAGGTGCGTTACGAGGCTCCAATGCCTCAACAAGAGGATATAGTCTTTCCCCTAAGAATCTACGCAGCCCTCGTGGCGTCAAACAAGAAATGAAACCGAGTTGCCCTTCTCGTGTCAGATAGACAAACTGATAGGCCATATGAGTAAGTGAAGAAATGGGGAAAATAGATTTGTTGATTTCTTCAGGATTATAACGCATTGCGTAATTTCTAAATCGAGATAAGAAAAGCGCTTCGTCGACGTCGTCTGGCGTGAAGTAGGGATGCGGCGCGTATAGGTCAAAGAGTGGTTCTGGATCAACCGGGCGGTCGTGATAATACAACCATCCCACGATCATCTGTAATTAATACATAAAGTTTTCAAATTCATTTCAGATTTAATTTTCGATTATAATAAATTTAGCATTTTGATTATGTCATTTTATGTCTTAATTGAAAAACGGAGAAAAACAAGCACTACTAGAGCCAGGATTTATATAAAATAAAATAAATTTAAGAAATGTTAGTAGATGCGGAGGCTAGTCTTATGCTGATTCCGCCACTGAAAACAAGAAACACAACAAAGACACAAAAGTAGACGAACTGTTAGTGAAAAACTTGTAACGGACACATAAAATTCTTACCAGACATGAGATTGGAGATAACATAATTCCGGTGATTTGATGAATTTGCTATGAATTTTTATTACTTTAGAAGCTAATTGTAAGTATGAACTAATAAGAAGACGAAACAAATATGATAATGCAGGGTATGGTGTTGCGGCCGGATTTGTGCAGACATATATAGGCTTGAAAAATGTGGATTCGGTTATTAATTTGCGAATTACCACCGCTTATAAGGTAAGAAATCTCTGTCGAATTCTACTTTGTAAAATTTCAATGACGGAATAAGATTGTGCTGCAATCTTTAGAAAGTATAGTAAGCATAATAATGCGACGCAGTAGCCGAGAAGAGTCTAATTTTAATGGATGTAAATCTCAAATAATTCAAAATGTATGAAACTGAGAATTGTTTGCTCATATAAAATAAAAATTCAAGCTATGTCTGGTTCGTGGATTTTGAAACGAGGAAAATAAAAATACAAAAGTAAATGAAAACAAAGAATTTGAAAATTTCTAGTATGTTTGGTTGCTAAGGAAATTTGATTTTTTTTGTGAAAAATCATTTTCTTTACCCAAGCATGCGTGTTTGTCGAGGTGAACTACAACGATAATTGGGTGTTTTCACATTTTCCCCGAAACAATTGACCTAATATTTTGTCTCATAACCAAACAAGAAATCTATTTTGCATAATTGATTCATCTTTCACTTAGCATTTTCCTTTATCTGAACAGAATCTCAGTGTTTAAGAAGTATGAATCATGCGGTAGAGCTGAAATAGTAAAATTCATGAAATAGTAATACAAAAAATTGACGCCAATACATTATTCAACCGAATCAATAGGAAAAAATATAATTAAATACAATAAAAAAAATGCATCCATTCAGCTTGTTTTAATAAATTGTACGGGAAATGAAAAAAGATAAATCAAAATTTTGCCATACGAACTAAAAATCACGACAGTGCCTATGCCACCGGAAGCAATACTTTAGAATGAGCTAAACTTATTGGATTAACATGTAAGCTAATAAAATGCATAGTTTTAGAAGGTGGGAGGAAGGAAGAAGAGGAATCATGTTTGTTCATGGTTTACTTAAGCGTGTTTGTTTAGTCGGTAATTCGTAGAGTTAATTGCATAGAGCCTCGTGTATAATATCTAATTGCTGAATAAGTTCTCGTACTAGTTTTCTTTTAATCAATTATCCTCCTAAGTTGCATATTTTATAGTCCACCTCTCCCTAATCGAGATAATCATATTGACTTAAAGAAAATAACTAAAGTACTCCTAGCTATATATACATATAAATATTTAACAGAAAAAAAAATTATAAATAAAATATTATTAAAAAATAAAATTGTTAATCTAATAAGAAAAGGAGGGGACGGTGCACTGTGATATAGCCAAGTGTATTGTGACGGCCGAGAAGAAGAAGTTCGCCGCAACGAAGAAGATGAGGAAGATAACAAAGAGAACAAATAAGGTGACGGTATTGACGAGGAGAAATAACGACCAATATATATATATATATATATATATATATATATATATATATATATATATATATATATATATATATAATTGAATACCACACCGAATTAACGGTTCGATAATCGGTATGTACGGATTTTTGTTTTTCGTAATTAAACCTTACCTCAGAGGTCACATAAATAGGGAGTCTTTAGTGTTGAGTCGTGTGCAAGAACGGCGTATCACATAAAGAGGGAGTCTTTAGTGTTTTATTAAGTCCTATTAATGTACACTTAAATCTGAACTAGTTTTGCAAGTGTAGGGTACATTTGTATGCGAACTACATTAAATTCTTGTGTTCTTTATTCTGCTTTTAGTAGGTTAGTTACTGTGACAACACAAGAATTCCGTTACCACACCTAATGTCGTAACACGTAGTCTGTCTCAACAGATGAGTGAACTTTAATAGACATTTAAATTCAACTAGTTCAATTGTTTTCTAATTTACAGAATTATTCAGACGTCCAAACATTTCCAATTTAGAGAATTATGAATATTCATATTGTGTTTATATTTACCATTGGAGCAAAGTCACACTTTCAACCACTAGTTGTCTTTTGAGGACGAAAATACCAACGCCAAGAACTAAGTTGTCATCAACAAGATATCCACTTGATTTATACCTCAATTTGTTTTAAAGATTAATTTTGAAAATCCCATTCAAACTTTGTTCTTAAATGACACGTCAATTTACTCAAAAATAAAGATGTTCATCTAAAATCTGATTATACAGAAAGATGGTGAAGATGACATTAAACTATGAATCATGGGTAAAGAACGGGTCTCTCACATAACCAGGAATGGGGAAGCAAGGTTGTTGTCATTTTCATTACCCTAGGGATTACGAGTTTATTTCCAAAAATCAATATCATAAATAAGTAGCTTTTGGGAACTATAAATATGATAGAAAAATAATTAGCAAGATACCATTTGTAATATGTGGGTTCAGGTTCCCTAAGCATGAGTTTTATTTCCAAAAATCAATATCATAAATAAGTAGTTTTGAGAACTATAAATAGGATCGAAAAATAATTAGCAAGATACCATTTGTAATATGCGACCTCAAATTTCCTAAGGATGTTTAGAAAGATGATCATTTGTCACACACTTTTCTGCTTTAATGTAATCAACCTAGGGGTTTACTAAGTTTACAATTTTATTTGGTTGGTTACAAATGAAATTCTATTGTTATATATACTCCATCTGTGTGATTGATGACATGATTGATTTAATACAATGATTGAGAGTGGTTTTGTAGAGCATTTCATATTCTACGAACATTCTAGAATGTAAGTATAATTGAGAGTTCATAGGGACCTCCTAGAATTTTTTACGACTTGGGGACAAGGCCCTACCTACAAGTGGTTTTTCTTTGGGATAGTTTTCCTATTCCAATGAGAACCTCTTTAAAGATACCAAATATCACAAAGCTTGACCCAAACGTAGGCGAAGTGTCACACGGAGGGGTTAGTTGACATGAGTGATAACAACTAAAAAATAAATGGCTGGTATAAGTAAAAGTTTCAAAATGAAAAAAATTGAAAAGAATTAGTTTAGGCGAGTACAAACAAACCACAGAAGTGACATTGTGATATATCAGTTCGCGTTGCTCATCCTCTGAATCAGTCTGGTATGTCTCACAATCGCGAGGAAAAGCAATAACTCGACATGCACTCGTGAAGTTTAAAATTGGGAAGAGAATGAGGAGGCATCAAGACATATTAGGTTGTCACTTAGTTTGGAGGGTCAATCTAAATTATTTTGAAATTTAGGTTTCGATAAAATGCTTTATTTAGGCTGTCACTTATGTTGATTAGGAAATTATCCGACCCGAAACCCGAAAACCCGAAACCCGAAACCCGAAACCTATTTAGATATTGAGTTAATTTAAAAGCAATTAGTTGGCCTAATAAACATGTGGAGTTGAAATTAGGATGACCGGATTCTCGACCCGCCCCAACCCTTTTGCAAGCTGCCCACCAGCATGTTGGCATTAATATAATTTTTTCAGAAAAATTAGAGAAAACCCCACATCTAAGAAATATAGTTAAGGAAACACCCCACCCAAAAATAATTAGAGAAAACTCACTTAGCTAATATTCCACCCATGTGATATTTTTATAATTATAAAACTACCCTTAATTGTCTATTATACTCTTTCAAAACCCTAATCTTATTTTGAATTTTGTATCCGCTGCTTTCACGTTCCAGCTTTTCTCTCTGTTTTGTTTTCTTTTTTTTTTTTATCTATTTTCTCCGGCAATCTTCTCCCCGCGGATGTCGCCGCCGCCGCCTGAAGATGGAGAAAGAAAGAAGAGGAAGCACTAGTCGTCGGCGTGTGGAGGAGAAACACTCTTCTTTCTCAACAGCCTGTTCCACTTCGTCAGCGTGTGGAGGAAGAAGAAGAGGAACAGGTTGTTGAGAAAGAAGAGGAAGCACTCGTCGTCGGAGGAGAATCAACGGAAGTTGTTGATGAATATATTTGTTTTTTTTGTATGAATTATTTATTTTATTCTTGTTAAGGATTGGTTGATTGTGTGGTGCGACGGTGTGGTGACAATGGGGAGGCAGATTTAGGGTTTTTTTGTGGATCAGGCGGAGGACGACGCGTGTAGAGAAATTCGCGCAGACTGCAATCTTAATCAACTATGTACATGTTCAATAGTCGATTAAGCTAATCGACTATGCTCTGGTAGTCGATTAAGGTTGATCGACTCCAATTTTTTTTTATTTTTTTTTTGGATTTTTTGTTTATTGATTCCAATTGTATAAATCATTTATAATGTTTGTATATTTTTTTTGTTTTTGTAATATATAGTTGATTTTGCATTTTTTCGGAGTTGTGATTTGTTATTTTCAGTAGCAGATTCTTAATTAATCGACTATGCTTCACATCATAGTCGATTAATATGATTCATTGACTCCAATTTTGAATTTTTTTTTGAATTTTTTTTTATTGATTCCAATTGTATAAATCAATTATAATGTTTGTATATTGTTTGGTTTTTGTAAAATATAGTTGAGTTTGCATTTTTGTAGTTGTGATTTGTTATTTTTAATAGTCGGTTCCTTAATCGACTATAGTTCATGATAATCGATTTAATATGATTCATAATCGATTAATATACCTGATAGAGAAAAAAAGTTAAAAAAATAGAAATAAACATAAATGAATAAATTGAATTTTATAAAAAATAAATTATAATAATAATAAAATGATAACTTAAAAAAAAAAAAAGACACGATTGGGTCATGTGGTGGATAGTGCTGGTGAAGTGGCAAAAGAGGGACATAATTGAAAAATT